TATATATATATATATATATATATGTGTGTATATATATATATATATGTATATATATATGTGTATATGTATTGTTTTAGTAACCCGTGTCTTTAATATCGCTGGTTAATCGTGTCATTAAACGTTTGTAACGTCTCTCTCTCAGTCGGGATGTCAACGATCGGAGATAAGATCCTGGACACTGCTTTATCAAAGGTGAGGCTCGTCATGATCGTCACAAATCAAAAGGTTCTTTATGAACGGGCATTATTATAGTCACTATTTGACTATAATATTCAGACTGGTTACACGCTCTTATTGTTCTCCAAAACCTTAAGATTTGGTATAATATTCGTGTATCATTTAAGATTTAATGCTTAAATACATTTAAATGGAAGATCCAATGTAAATCTGCTGCTTTTAAATGTCTTATTTTCAATGTAACTGATAAATGTAAAGTATAAAAATCACTAAAGGAACGTTTTCTTCTTCTTTTAAACACAGATTGGAGAGAAGAGTTTGTTCACCAAAGAGTTGGAGAATGCTCTGGAGAGGAACGAGTGAGTGTTACCGCCGTCGCCACCATTGTTTCTCCAACTGCGTCGCTGACAGGCTCACTCTGTGGAGACGTTAGCATCGTAGCTGTCAGATACGGAGGGATGAATTCAACCCTTATTGAACCTCAGCTCCTATAATAAAGTGTGAAGCCAAAGTACAGACATGCAATAACATTCCGTCCGGTTGACAGGTTGTCTGTTTTTATTAACAACAAGACTAGTTACCGAAAGTAACATCAATACTGTCACAACATCTTTATTAGCATAACGCTAGCTTCATGCTAACGATATCAGGGTAAGTTGAAGTTAAGCTGTAGTAGTAGTAGTAGTAATAGTAATAGTAGATGTAGTAGTAGCAGTAGTAGTAGTAGTAGTAGTAGTAGATGTAGATGTAGTAGTAGTAGTAGTAGTAGTAATAATAGTAGTAGTAGCAGTAATAGTAATAGTAGATGTAGTAGTAGTAGTAGTAGTAATAATAGTAGTAGTAGCAGTAATAGTAATAGTAGATGTAGTAGTAGCAGTAATAGTAGTTAAGCATTACTTAGCAGGTGTTCATTATCAGGAATTAATGGACCCCCTGCAGCCAATCAGAATGGAGTATTCACCCAGTCCATGATGTAACAGATTATACTCTGTGAGAGTAGAAAATAATATTAATATAAAATGTTTGACAGTTTTTTTTGAAGCAGACATGTTTTTGTCCTCTTAGGACATCAGAGCAACTTTTATTTTTATTTTTTTTAAAGGGAGACAAAAGAGTTAAAGCTTTTCTATGTTAGAAAACAACCCGAGCTTTGAATGAAACCCAGTGATGAGTGTGTTAGAAACCCAGTGACGAGTGTGTTAGAAACCCAGTGACCAGTGTGTTAGAAACCCAGTGACCAGTGTGTTAGAAACCCAGTGACGAGTGTGTTAGAAACCCAGTGACGAGTGTGTTAGAAACCCAGTGACGAGTGTGTTAGAGTCATTTCATCTCTTCATCACAGCCTCCTCTGTGTGCTGCTCATCCCTTTGATGCACAGCCTCAGAAGTAGCAGCTGGCTCGACGATGTTAAACATGCACAGCACTGAATGACTGTATTATGAACATGAGACATGAGGCAGCATGTACTGTGTACCGAGTACGGAATACTGTGTACTGAGTACTGTGTACTGTGTTCCTCTGCGTCCCACAGGGTCGATCTGGTCGTCCACTCTCTGAAGGACCTTCCCACCACGCTGCCTTCAGGATTCACCATCGGGGCCGTGTTGAAGTAGGTGTAGTGTGTCTGTATGAACGCATGCTGTATCGTGTAGTAGTGTACTTTAATAATTGTACGATAGTGGAGCTGGAACAGTTCCACTTTGAGTCAGAACAAGTCTGATATTCCTTAAGTGTATCCTGCAGGTCATTCTAGTATCTAAGATAAGATAGAAGTTTATTATTCTTGTTTCATTAAAGATTACAACAGAAGAATAAGAACAAACAATAGAATACAAATATAAACATGTATGAACAATAGAATAACAAGTATTAAGTATTTAAGAAGTAACACTGACAACAGTGTAAAATAGAATATAGTAAAAAAAATATAACATTACATAAACAATATAAAGTGAAAACAATAAAATAAAGTTTTAAAAACAAAATAAAGTTGTGGTTTGTTGTGATTTCCATTGGACCAGCTAAAAGCAGTGCTTTGCTTCCTGTCTGCTTCTAGAAGAGAGAACCCCCATGATGCAGCGGTGTTACACCCCAAACATGAGGGCAAGACTCTGGAGACTCTGCCAGAAAACAGGTAGAACCCAACTAGTCGTGTTTTGTGTTTCCCACTCATTTAAAAGAACTGAGTTGAAATATTAGCTATTAACTAGTGCTGGGCAAGTTAACGCGTTAATTTCGCGTTAAGGCATTCATTAATTAACGCCGACAATTATTTTATCGCGCGTTAACGCATTTTTTAAATTTATTATAATTTTTTTTTTTTTTTATTGAAAGACAAGAGACAATACATAAACATAACAACAAGAGGATGACAAGAACAGTGGGATAAAAGCCAGCAAACATCCTATAGTCAGTCAGATTAAAGTGAGACAACGTCCGGTTTCTTCAGACGAACATCCGGTTTTCAGAATAAGATGCCAACAAAGTATGAATTATATTCACATTAAGTATAAAACATGCTACCTGCATCTCGTGAACCAAATGTTATTGCCCTTTTGTTCATATAGCATTACTTTTGAATTCATTATTGAACTTTGCCATAACAATGAGATTAATCGCGATTAAATATTTGAATCGTTGCCCAGCACTACTATTAACATCTATCTTCCCTCTTGTGTTAGTGTGATCGGCACCAGTTCACTTCGCCGCGCTGCTCAGCTGAAGAAGAGATTCCCCCACCTGGTGTTCAAAGATATCGTATCCTTTCAGGAAGCGATGTTGATGTTGTCAATTATTTAATTTCTTTTAAACATAGAAAAAAAACAGGCATAAGCCGATGCTTCATGTGTTAAAGCTGCATTCTCTCTAGTGTCCACC